CGTATTTAACTGCGCTTCCCCATCTGCCTCCCTCTTTATCGCACTCGCGGCATCCGACAGCGGCTTTCATTAATTTCCTTAGCGCGAGATAAGCATCGCTCGTAAAATCACCGTCGCCGATCGACGGCGGAGAGGAGAAGAGACAGACAGACAGACAGACAGACAGACAGACAGACAGACAGAGAGAGAGAGAGAGAGAGAGAGAGAGAGAGAGAGAGAGAGAGAGAGAGAGAGACACGGCAGTCCTACCGGGTGTCTCGTTGAACTTTGTCGGGGAGTTAGCGAGAATTCGGTCGGCCGTGAAGCTCCGGAAACGCGTATACCGGCGATTAACGGGAGAATTCGATGAAATCGTAAATTCGTTCGTTCGTGCCTCTCTCGTCCTCTGGTCGCGCTGTGCGCGCGAATAAATGGCTGACTATATTTTCGAGCGCGCGCGCGCGCGCACATACATGCACACACACGCCCATACATGGAGACGTACATACGATTTTGCACACGTATACGTACGAGCATGTACACGCGTACACAGCCGGTGCGACGCGAGAGAAAATATCTGGCATGGCGCGCCCAGCGCGCACCACCCGGGAGCAGTAAAATTTGCTAAACGATGTAAATAATGGATGGGAACAGTTGGACAGTTTTCAGTTATTTTCCTCGTGCTGGCATAATTCAACCGAAATTTATTGCCGCTGCTCAATTACGCAAAATATTGTCAAAAAACGTGGTGACCGCGGCACCCCCTCTGCATTGTGCCGGTTTCGTTAAAAGCGCTGCGCATTCTGCGTCTCTCTCTCTCTCTCTCTCTCTCTCTCTCTCTTTCTCTTTCTCTCTCTCTCTCCCTCTCGCTCGTTCTCTCTCTCTCTCTCTCTCTCGCTCGCTCGCTCGCTCTCGCGCGCTTATCGCCCGACTGCGAAACTTTTCGCCGAGAGAGTTTCGGTCGCGCGTTATGGCTCACGCAAAAACACGTGGCTCCGGCATCTCGCTTAATTGCCGCTAATTATCGCACGTAACAATACGCGTTGCCGCGCGGTCGAGCGCAGTCACCGCAGAGAGAAGCGCGCGCGCGCGATTAAAACGAGTATTAACGGCGAGTAGCGTTACGTTATTCCGCGCGGTGAACGCTCGTCCGCTAATTTGCTTCAATTTTTATCTGGTCTCCGACGAAAAATGCAAAAATAACTTGCGGTATCCGAGAAAAAGGGAGGCAAAAGCAACCGGGGAGATATAAAAGGAAAGGAGAAAAAAAGTATTTTGGACGCCAACGCGAGCGAGCGAGCGAGCGAGCGAGCGAGCGAGCGTTCGTTCGCTCACGCGCGCGCGCGCGCGCGCACCTGACAGTTTTTCGTGCAAAATCATCGCGAGGATCCCGAACCATAGAAAACCCGGAGAGCCGACGGGGAAAAAAAACTGCCAGCAAACAAATCCATCCTGCATTTTTTATCGCGCAACTTGAACGTAAAACTCGCATTGCGCTGTAAAAACGCGGTGCTCGAGCGAGAGGGAAAGATAAAGAGAAGAGAAAAAGAGAGAGAGAGAGAGAGAGAGAGAGAGAGAGAGAAAGAGAGAGAGACAGGAAGCGAGAGAGAAAGGGGCACGAGAGCGGGACAGAGCGAACTCGTTATACATTATCCAGCTTCGTCGTTACATTGGTTTTAAACGGATCCCGCAATTTTCGCCCACTACCGACACACATTTTCATTAAAAATCAACGTCTCGCGCTTCGCTTTCCTCCCCTTCCCTTTCGCCTCTCTCTCTCTCTCTCTCTCTCTCTCTCTCTCTCTCTCTCTCTCTCTCTCTCTCTGTATTCCTCATTTTCTCTACTTCGACCATTTCTTCGAGCCACGCAAGTTTCTCACACACAATTAGCCGGTCGCGCGAGTAAACGTCGGGCCTCGGTCGGCCGGCCGACCGGCGGCTATTTCAAGTTCGATCAGTCTTCCACCGTTTCATGAACGCGAGGGATTCTCTCCCTCCCACTCTTCCTCTCTCTTTCTCACCACCTTCACCTGCGCCATTGTTTCCTCGAAGTAGCGGCGGCCGAAGGGTGTAGTACGTAGTACGCGCGCGAGATACGAGCCCGGAGTGGAAATCACGAAAGTACCCGGCGTCGACGCGCGGGTTTCGCCCCTTCTAATCTGGTCTCCTAGGTTTCGCCATCAGGCTTCGTCGAGGAGCGCGGCGGTGAAGACGGCGGCGAGAACTCAGCCATCGGCGAGGGGATGAGAAAGAGAGAGAGAGAGAGAGAGAGAGAATGGGAGAGAAAGAGAGAGAGAGAGAGAGAGAATGGGAGAGAGAGAGAGAGAGAGAGAGAGAGAGAAAGGAAAGGAGTGAGAGAACGAGCGAGCCGGTTTCCCAAGGGTGCAAAGGGGAAAGAAGGACAGAGAGAGAGAGAGAGGAAAGTCGCGCGAGGGCGGGACGAGATACGCGGGTTCCCGGGGTAGAGGACGGGCAGGGGGTGTGGGTGAGGACAGGAGGCGGTTTAAAGGGTAGCGAACGTCTCGACAAAAGCAACCCTCTTAAAGTTTGCCCTACGCTCTGCCTACCAATGCGCGAGTTCGGATCAGGCGGACTCTCTCCGCGTGCCAGATTCGCCCTGAAAGTGGCGGGCCTCGAGGTCGCCGTAGAATGAACGAAGCCGCGAATCACCACGGGCGAACGAAACGACGGCGACAACGATGTCGAGGTGCGCAGACGCGCGACGGGCTGCGGGTGATGACATGCAATCGACACGATGACTCGAATTCGCAAATTAAGGGTAATTTCGGGGACCCATCGATCCTTCAGGATGGGCGTCGATGCGATTGTCGGTCGTTATCGCGGAAATATTCTCTCTCTCTCTCTCTCTCTCTCTCTCTCTCTCTCTCTTTTTCTTTCTCTCGCTCGTTCGTTCTTTCGCGAAACTTGAGCCGTTCTCGTGGCGCGAAAACTTCCCGCCGGAGGAAACAAGGATCGAAGAAACGGAACTGCTGGTACGTCGACATCGCCGACACCGTCGTCGTCGTCGTCGTCGCCGTCGTCGTCGTTGGCAGTCTAATCTGGGATGCGGCACGAGAGCAAACTCTAATCCAGCTTATCCAGAAAGTAATTTTGAGTCCTTTGAAAAGCGCAGCCAGACCGCTCGGAAAGAAATCACAAGCGCGTACGAGGGATAAAGGGGTGTTGCGGATGGTGGGACCGCGGAACCCATGACTCCGCGTGGCAGGGCCACCGGGTGACGGCGGTGGTGGCGGTGCTCGGGACGAAGAAACAGCTTTACCATCTTTGCGAACACAGAGAGACATGAAACTTTTGCTCGTTCCACGGCTTTTCTGACTATCAGCGCACGCGGATCGCTTATTTCTCCTCTCTCACTCCTCCCCCCCCTCTTTCTCTCTCTCTCTCTCTCTCTCTCTCTCTCTCTCTCACTTTCTCGATTCCGCTCGGGGAAATTAGCAGAGCAGAAAGGGGGCCGGGAGATAGAGAGACAGCGGGGAGATCTCCGACCGCGATAAGACGATAAAATCCCGGCAGGAGGAAAAATTAAGCGCCGCCACTACGAGTGTTTAAATCCTCCTCCGGTTTTCCGGAGGACGAGCGACGCTTGTACAGCATGGCCGCGATTCGCTGTCCGTGAACCGCCGCCGCGATGTCTGCCCCTCTCGCAAGGGAGAGAGAGAGAGAGAGAGAGAGAGAGAGAGGAGAGAGAGAGAGAGAGAGAGAGAGAGAGAGAGAGAGAGAGAAAGGAAGACGACGACGCTGAGGGGATCGATACTCGGAGATTCTTAATTTCGAAACGATGCCGGCCCGCCGGCATCTCGGTATTTCGGGACGTCCCCCGAGATAAATTTCTCGCGGTGTATCGAGCGAAAAATATAAAATTTCGTCACTTATCGACTCCCTGGAAACTTGCGCCTCGCGCAAGTCTCCTCGGGTCTCTATCGCCGTAAGAGCTCGAAAACCGTCGACGACGACGACGACGTCGACCGGCGTCGTTCATCTTAGTTTTGCGACTCGCCGTCAAAGTCACGGGGAGAAGAAAAAGAAGGAGCGAGAGCCTCTGAGAGCGCGACGATATCGATCGCGACGGCGCGCGTTTCGCTCGCGCGTGATTCTCCTCGTCACGGCACGCGCTCCGTACCTGCGCTGCCTCGCGAATCGATCGCAATTTCGTTGTTATCGCGGGGGTGCGGAGGGAGGGGGGAGAAAATCGGAGCCTGCCGGTAAAATCCCGTCGTTCCCGCGGTAAAATTACCGCGAGCGACACTCGAGACACCGACGTAATCCGCATAACGTTCCTCGCGCGGGCGCACGCTAGTAAGTCTAGCCTATCCGATTTCACGGAAAGCTCGCTGGAAAGATGAGATACTAGAGCCCGCTGTTCTACGAGACGACGGCGACGGAGCGAGAAGCGCGACGGATTTTATCGCGCTCATGGGGAAACGGGCTCGAGAGGAAGCAGCGGTCAGACACGTCGCTCGAGCGATCACCGATTGTCAACTTGTGCGGCCGATTCGCGAGGCGAAGTCGCGAATCGGCCTCGTACGACATTTCGTCGCGTAAATCCTCGTGACGTCAGACGTCTCACGGGAATTTTCGGTGAAACGCGAAATTTGTCATATCGTCTTGCCCGTTAACGCTCTGTTCTCCTCGAATAAAATGGATTAATGCGTGATTTTAGGACGGAAAATAATATACGGTAATTTCATTCTTGTCTTTTAAGCATCGCTCTCCGAAACTTTCAGTTGCATCTGTTTTCAACACTGATAATCGTTAGACTCTTAAAAATTTCCTGAAAACAACAGAAAACAGGCGGACGACCTCTCAGCACTGAACGTGTTCGAGAAGTAAGCGTGACCTCTGCTGGACTAACTTCGCCGCGACATTAAGCCAATCAGGAGCTTATCGGAGCGCGAATCAGCGAGATTATCTAGATAACTCGCGCGCGCACTTTAAACGCATGTATCCGAAAGTGTAAGTTTTTAATTTTTACATCTTCATCTCTGAGTCATATTACATACCTGGACAGGACGTGCAGGGAGGCGTAGGCGGCCGGCGACAATGAGAATCTGGAATCTGGAATCGAAATGGCAAATTATCATCAATCACAATGGACCAGCGGACGGGGCTGCAGGGCGGTGGGACTAAGAGACACTCGGCAGGGAGGGAGGGAGGGATGAGGAGGAGACGCGCAGCACGCAAACGTCAACGATCGACATGGGCGAGACGGGCGAGACGGGCGGGAGAGTGCGCGCATCCTGCGCCAGGACATTTCGAGAGTACTCGATGCATTGTCACTCTCGGGGCCTGTCCTTGGTCCACCACCTCGGTGGCGATTCGAAACCACCCCGTCCGCGCGCGCTACCCCGTCGATTCGTTGCAAGCGTTGCATTCGACGCGAACATCGATCGCGACCGATCGACACGATTCGAGCTGTCGCGCTTCGCGTCGCGACGCGCAACGCTTTTCTCAAGTTTCTTCCGGCGGGATTAGGAGAGCATGAAACGCCCGCGATCGTGAGCTTGCGCGGTAATCGGCTGCGGCGGCAGCCGAGACGATATCACTTTTTCATTAACCGACAGAGATAAGAGATATAAAAGAGATAATAGTGTTTCTCGGGAATGCTCCGGCGAAGCGCGCTGTGTGACGTCGGACGTCACTTCAGCTCCGCAGTCACATCGCTGATTACTGCTACGCCGTTATCTTCGCGATCCGTTGATCCAAAGTCGGTCTCTAGATGGCGGGAGACACACCATTTCGCGCTCGAAGCTTCTCAACCTACCGGCCACTCGGCGTAGGCTGTATAGATTAGACGGAACGAAAACCGGCCGACAGACGCAGAATATTAACTCAGCGCCAAACGGACCACCGCCGTCGAAGGCAGCATGAGATCTCTCACGAGGACGCGACGAGTGGCTTTCTCGCGAATTCCCGCGACTTCCGGCTGCGCGTCGGCAGCTCCAGACTGCGACGCAGTCGCGCGCGCGCGCGCGCGCGCGGGAGGGGGGAGGTCGCCCCCGGCGCAGGTGACCGTGAGGCCGCAACCGGGTGGCAGTCCCTGGAATCCGATCTCGCGACGGTACACCGCGGGTCACCCGTTACAATTCCGTAGGCATGCGTGGCTATTACCTAACTCTCGCGTAGACTGTCTCTCTCTCTCTCTCTCCCCCTCCCACCCTCTCTCTCTCTTCCTCTCCGCGTACATAAGCGGGATTGCCGGCCGGCGGGCCGCGCCGGTACATACCCGGTCCACGGCGCGCGTATCTAGAAGCCGACCGACGGTTGGTTGGTTGGTTGGTAGGTAGCTAGGTAGGTAGGTAGGTACGTAGGTAGGTACCGTATTATATACGTAGTGAGGGCTGGAGGGTCCTCACCGCCGCAACATTACGCTGATTGCCTGAATTATCCGCAACCAGCCCGCCTGTGCTCTCCACTATGTATGTACGAGCCTCGCGAGCTCGTACATACAGCCGCCCGGTACGTAGCGTACATATATATGCCTTTCGCTCGCGTTCGCGCTCGTATATACCTCGTGTCTGTGTGTGTGTGTGTGCGTGTAGGTGTAGATGCGTACATATGCATGCGCGCGTGCGCGAGCGCTTATGTATGAGCGACTACGCGCGACGGCGACGTGCCGCAACCAGCTCCGCGTACGCATTCGCGAGCTACGCGCGCGCAAATTCATGCGTCGAGCGGTGTTACGTGTAAGTGTGTGTGTGTGTGTGTGTGTATACGCGACGCGGCGTCTACGTGTGGGCACATATATGCGCGGCCGAGCGCGGCGGCGCGGCGTACGGCGTGTGTATGTATCGTCACGCTCGTAGGACGGCGACGAGGAGAAAATTGAAAACGGAGCTGCGCGCGAGCGCGGAAGACGATAGCGCGATATATTCATGAAGGCGGAATAATGAATCGAGACGAGAGAAACACGCCGCGCATCCACCCTCGCGCCGCGCCGCGCCGCGGCATGCGCGTTATCTGCCGTACCGGCAAACCGCCGCGAATCGATCGCTTTATTTTTCAGCCCCCGACGCGGACGAGGCGCGCGCGCGCACGGCAAATTTCAGCTGCGCCGATCGCGACGCTCCGCGCCGGCGAAATCGGCTTTAGACGCGACTCTCCGGAGGACCGTGACGAATTTGCTCGCGCGTGCCGAGTCTCTCCTCCGCTTCTTGCTCCGGATGCAACGGTCCTCGAGTAATCGGACGAGACAACGACAACTCTAGATATATCGGGCCACCCCATTGAGTCACGCACAGAGTAGAATCGATCGAGTTGGAAAATCGGCCGCCGATCGCTAATTTTTCACCGCGGACGACGCGCGCTCAGAAAATTGCCGCACCGTCATCAAGTTGCGCATATCGCGCGTCTCATCAAGAGACGCATTAAGCATAACTAATTGCTCCGGAAAATTAGGAACTGCGAGTACATAATCGTTTAAACGTTATATACGAATTACGTTCAGCTTTGGCGATTCGGAGTAAGCAAGGGACAACGAATCGGACCTATAATTAATCGGAGGCGCGACTCGTGCGAGTTATCAGGTGCGAAGGCTCGGCGAAAAGCCGACGGACGAGCAGCCTGCGAAAACGTCAGCTCCGTCTGCGTGCTAGCCCTGGCCATGAATTCGTTTGGACCGGAGCGCGGACGGACGTGCGTCAGGACGGCGCAGGGGGACGGAAGGGCGGAGGAAGGGTTAAGGACGCGTATCATACTGCTTGATTAATGTACTTCGCCCATGTATCCGCCTGCCTCTGCGCGAACGCGGCGTACACGCGCGGATAGCTCGGACACGCGTGTCATTTGTTAGTTACGCCAGCGCGCGCGGCCGAGCTACGGCGATATACGGCGGTAGCAACAAAACGCCACGGCGAGAGACGACGCATCGCGCCCGCGCGTGAATTTATCACGCGGCCGGAGACGACTGCGAGATGAAAATCTATCAGCGAGCGCGCTCGCGCGCGCGCGCGCGCGCGCGACCTTGTTCTCTCGCGGATTTCCGCGAAACTGCCGGAGAGACGTGAGAGGAGCCTTGCAAGGCTTGCACTTGAACCTTTGCGCAATCCACGTCCTGACTAGAAATTTTGATCAGGTTCACCTAACATTGACTGCGTTCAGCAGAACAAAGTGATCAGTGAGCGCTTGGTGATTCTCGCTCCTGATTGGTAAATACTTCTGGGTCTGTGAAGAATCTAAAAGAATGCTCCAATCACAGACGATGATCACTAAGCGCTCACTGATCGTTTTGTTCTACTGAACGCAGCCATTGATAGGACCTAATAGAGTGAATGAAAGGTAATCCTAAGTAAGTCAGTCCTTATAATGTCCTAACGACAAATGAGTAAGGAAGACCTTTATAAGGTTATAATGATCGGGTCCACATTAGGACCTTGATGTATCAACCTAGTGTATGATATAATATGGTTCAGTTAATCAGGTCCTTGTCGGGATCTTATTCATTGTACGTAATATGATTTGCATTATCAAGTTTTAACAAAATAATTTTTCGGTGTCATTTCCAAATATAAAGATGTTTGCATTGAAAGAAACACTTCAGATCACTTGAATATATTTGTAAAATACTATAGAAACTATCCTTTCTTTAGCAGTCAATAAATAGTTGTAAAATTAACGTGACATGCAACTTTTCTCTTTAACACTACTTTATGTCTTGTCACCTTGTGACACTTCATGATCTTATGATATTCATTTTATGTTTCTTTTCCGAAACGTTTTACAAGTATGCTCAGGCGACCTAAAATATTATTTCATGCAAATATCCTTTTATTTGGAAATGACATGAAAGAATTTTCAGCGTGTTATTTCTCACCTCTAATGTCATCATCCAATATAGCCGTGGCGAGTAATCAGGAGCCATAATTTGAAAAAAAGATAAACGTAATAAGGATTCCATAAGGTAACTCAATAAGGATCTGACTATGAATCCTTACTAAGGTCCTGACATCCACGCTGCGTTACATGACTTACTAGGACCCGATAGTATTGGGACCTTATTGGGACCTGATGTCCAAATGAGGTTAACCTGATCAGGACCATGGGATAAATTTCTAATCGGGATTCCTCCGGAGGGACTTGAAATACGCGTACGCTGCGACGTGCGGAGGAAGAAGAAGTCGGAACTCGCGACCGCCATCGTCGAGGTCCTATTTATCCCACTTAACTGCATGCTTGATCGGTCGCCCGGGGCGGGGGCTGGTGGACGTTGCACCGCGGGATTAGTCGAGCGTCGATCCGGAGATACGAAAAACACGCGCGTCAGCGACGGCGACGTTGAGGCACGATAAGGCGGGCGATCGCACGCATTATTTCGCGACTGAGCTCACGCGTATTATTTACGCTCCTCCTTGGGTTATCGCGCGGATCGAGTCCGCCGGATATTCGTACGCGATGCGCGACGCACGCGTAATTACACGCACCGCACGTGCATTTGCATCGGAGCGTCACACGCGACACGCGGTTATCACGCGCGTCGCAACTGTACTTCCGTATATACGCGAGCTAATCGCCCGGTGATATCTTCGCTTCGCGAGAGAGGTAATCACTAAACAGCTCGGAAACGAGAAAAAATCACGAGAGCGCGCCGATAAAGCATCGCCGGCTGACGCGTTCGCGCCGGGCGGCGGTGCGGATTTTTTTCAAACACGCGCGCGAGCGAGTACCGCTCGCTTTTCCGCTTTAACTTTCCGCTTCCGTCGATATCGCTCGCATTGCATCGATGCAGATTACGCATCGCGATAGCGTCGTGACCGAAGGCGCGGTCAATTGAGATGTTATCACGCGACATTTCAAGGCCCCGACTGATAACGGAAGATCGCGCTGCGTCGAAGGATTCGCGCGCGTGCGAGCTCGCACCGAGCGCGATAGGCGAAAAATATAACTCGGAAAGCTTTAATAACGATAAAACGTTCCGCGCCGATCCGGATTGTTATCTAGCCGAAAATCGCACGCACGCAATTCGGCCTGTGATCTCGTTGAATTTATTACGCCTCTCTTTATCGATGATAGATATAAGCCGCGCTCGATTAAAAATACGTTCCGCGTGACGAATCGAGCGAATGATGTTTGTTAATCGTTGAAAGCTACCGTATCGAAGAGAATCACGAAAATGCTGTCACGGGCGTATATTTCATCCCGGTGTGTGTATATTTTTTGTTTTAAAAATAAAAACAGTCAATTAAATGCAATTAAATGTCTTGTTATTATTGAGTATTAGATGAAACGTAGAGAAGTTATTGTTCGCAGCGGATAATTTAACATTTAATGAGAACGAAACGAAATTCGCATGGGGCGAAATTTCATCCAGCCTTTGAGGGTTAAATCGCAACGCCCGAAACTCCTGCTGCTTATTCGCATACGTCAAAACGGCTTGCGATCGATAGTACACGATCCGGAAAGATTGCTGTGGACAGCGACAAAATTCTGTCGCGAAACTTGATTGATTATTGTCTTCCGGACAAGGACAAGGAAAATTCGTTACAGTCAGATATCATAATCCGCGCATCGCGATAACGCGATGCATTTTTATAAAAGCTGCCATTGCTTGACCATTCTGGTCAAATTACGCACTCACGCATGTCGCGGACGGAATCGCGCAGTCGACAGGACGTACGACGTACATTTTCTCTCTTCCACGTTCGGGAGTAGGTGAGGGACGATGAAGGGTGAGTATTGAGACGCCTAAGTATCCCTAATTACGACGCGATCGTGATCGTGAGCGATTGAGCGATGTCGCAGGACGCCACTCAGATGCACGAGTAACTTTTCCAACGACTCCAACACCTTTATTTTTTTTTTGATCACCCAGGTGGGTACCCCTTATGGGTACCCGCAAGTCATAGGGGTGACGTGTGGGGGTTATGTCGGACTCGCATCGACTGGGGGGTGCCTGCCTTCGGGGATAGCGATTGGCGGCCGCAGGAACGAGTCTCCTATTCCTTCTGATAGATAAACCGCCACCCAACGACTCCAACACCTGTTCATCAACTTTCAATCAAGTAATTGCGACTAATTTTCTTGTTTTTTACATGCGGAACAGGGATATACCTGGTCGTCACCGCCATCGTCTTCCTGGCGTCATGGAGCGTGATCGCCGCGGAGGGGGAGGAGGAGGAATTCGACAGAATTCCCACGAAATGCCCAGCCAAGGACCCGAAGGATACCACGATCCACCTGGCGCACGAGTACGATTGCACAAAGTTCTACATGTGCCAAGGCGGCAAGAAGATCCTGCGACAATGCCCCTACATGAACAAGAAGGGTGACAGGCTGCACTTCAATCCGCGCCTTCAAGTCTGCGACTGGCCATGGAAAGCTGGTTGCAAGCACAGGAACTTTGACGAAGAACAAGCCGTAGGGACGGAGGACAAATTTGCTTTGATGGAAAATCACGAGAGGGTAGCGCTCACGGTAAGTGCTGCTGAATGTCCTGCTGGAAACCCTGGCAACAACACGATCCTTATTCCGCATGGTCACGATTGCACAAAGTTCTACATGTGCGTCGGGAGTGAGAAAATTGTACAAGACTGCCCATACATGAACGACGAAGGCGACCGACTGCACTTTAACCCGCGTCGCCGAGTTTGCGACTGGCCAGGTGACGCTGGCTGCGAGGACCAGGATTCTGCGGAGGAATGGAAAGAACGCGAAGGAATGGAGGAAGAACCTATTTCAGACGAGGAAGAGCACGGATCGTCGAAAATCCCCAGAAAGTGTCCAGCCAAGGACCCGAAGGACACTACGATCCACCTCGCGCACGAGTACGACTGCACAAAGTTCTACATGTGCCAAGGAGGCAAGAAGATCCTGCGACGATGTCCTTACATGAACGACAGAGGTGACCGATTGCACTTCAACCCACGGCTTCAGGTCTGCGATTGGCCCGATGATGCGGGTTGTCGATCGTCATCGCGCGGCCCAGAGCCCACATGGCATACGGAGCCGACCTGGCGCACACGACGCACCAGACCCACAGAGCCGACCTGGCACACACGACGCACCAGACCCACAGAGCCGACCTGGCACACACGACGCACCAGACCCACAGAGCCGACCTGGCACACACGATACACAAGACCCACGGAGCCCACATGGCACACACGGTATACAAGGAACCACACACGACCCACGCGACCTACGCGACCTACGCGACCTACGCGTCCACCTCCAGGAGACGACGAATGTCCGTGGGGCAGCGATGGTCTCTTGCTGCCTCATCAATGCAATTGCGCCATGTTCTACGAGTGCGTGAAGGGCGACAAGATCTTGCGCGAATGCGCAGACGGTTTGTACTTTAGCAAGAGGCGTCAGGGTTGCGTCAAGATCGAAGATTCGGACTGCAAGAGGAAGAAGCCACCGCCTAAGTGCAGCTGGGAGGGCGAGTTCATACCTCACGAGTGCGACTGCACCAAGTACTACAAGTGTCGAAGGGACGATCAGGTGTTGCGAAAGTGCGATGACGGTCTTCACTTCAGCCCGAAACGTCGGAAGTGCGAACACCCGGACAAAGCCGGTTGCAACGGCGGGGGCGAGCCTCCTGGTCCTGGCGACTGCCCGTATCCCACCCCTGAGCACCCGTGGCGCCATGAGTGCGACTGCAGATTGTTCTACAAGTGCGAAGGCGGAAAGAAACGTTTGTACGAGTGCCCCTGGGGATATTACTTCGACATGAAGAGAAACGGATGCAGTCCGCGGGAACGTATAACCGATTGCAAAAATCGTTGGGAAGACTGAGAGCCCGAGAAACACTCGATTCCAGTAGGTCTTGGAAGGCCTTTTAGTCTTGGAGGATGTTAGAATAAAGACAAAAAGGAGCTCGAAGTAGTGACGAGCTCGGAAAATAAATTGCACGCTCGACTATTCCGGGCATCCGATTTTCGGCATCGATGACTTCGCCGCTCAACTCTCCCGCTTTTTCTTTCAGGAATATGTACATATCATTACCCACGTAGAAGAGGTAATTAAGCCGCGCTAATGGAAAATAAAAATAAAATGGTCAATTGTAATCGGCCGAGATTCGCCTCAAAATTGGCGTCGTAAAAAAAACTGGTTGAACTGGAGTGTCGATGAAACGAAATAAAAAATATATGCGTGTCCAAGTACGTTTCTTTTCTTTATCTTTAGTAGTTTGACCACCACTTCAGCTTCTGTGCAATCAATGAAAATCGGCACCGCGATCAACGCGTTGACCCTGAAGTAGTATTACTGGGAGAAACGTGAGTCTACGATTCCCGAATCGCGAGCTTTACGCTTCACGACGAGCGATCCCCCTCCCCCCAGAAGCGGCAGATCGTCACGTTCCTGACATGACGCGGGAAGCTATAATTGGCTCTTGATCCGATAAGACACAACACTATATATTATTTATGCACTTTCAGCTCATAGACAATATACGTCAGACAAGAGACGCGTCACCTCTCGATCTCGGATATGGAACTTTCCAGATCGCGATAATAATTGGAGAGTACGAAACACAGCCAGAAATAGTTTACATCGCGATAACTCGAAGCTCGCGATCAACATCGTTGAAATCCTATTTATTCTATTTATTCTACTTAACTATATGTTTTATTGATCATTCGACGCAAGCTGGTCGAATGTCGATCCCAGATAGGATATTCGCGACGAGCGAGTGCGATGAAGAATTGTGTTTTAAGTGCACGCGTTACCGCTCGTTTTTCTCATTTGGAGTTTTCGCTCTCGGCGATATCGCGCATTGTATCAAAATAGATTATGCGCTAACGATAACATCGACTGACCAAACGCGCGGTCAATTGAGATGTTGTCGTGTGAAATTTCAAGGCCTCGGCTGATAACGGAAGATTGCGCCACGGCGAAGAATTAACGCGCGCGCGCGCGCGCGCGCGAATAAAACGCGATGCATCGAAATGTAGGATAAAAAGTTTTAATAACGATAAAACGTTTCACCAGAGATCGAATCGTTATCTGACCGAAAATCACACGCGTGCAATTTACCTCGAGATCCTATTGATTTTTATTACATTTCTCTTTATCTCAATTTATACAAAGCGTAAGTCATGCTCGATCGAAAAGTACGTTCTGCGATAAGAATCAAATGAGACGCTATTTATTAAATACAATTGTGATTTTCATTGTAAAAAGTCTCCTCGACCTGCTGACGTACGTCGAATGTGCGACACTACGATTGCGGAAGGTCGTTTATCGTCTGACAGAATGCGTATGCGCTCAGTTGAAAGATCTCACAGAACAAATCTTCTACGATATCGGCTCGACTACCGTGTTCCGAATAAAAAAAGGTTCGTCATCACCTGATATGGTAATCTGTCAGTCCACAGCGATAACGCGCAAAGCATGTTTATAAAAGCCGACACACCGTGATATAATCACTTACGTTGAACTAAATCGTGAAGTGCGCGCATAAAACGTATATTTTCTCTTTTCCACGTCTAGGAGTAGGTGATAGGCGATGAAAGGTGAGCATTGAGAAAAATGACTTTAATGACACAATAGTAATAAAACAAATGAGTTATATCACACGACCAGACCCGTGTGTGTTTTGTTCATTACTTTCGGCTTTGACAAAATTTCTATTGATTCATTTCTATCGACTAGTTTATTTTTTATATTTGAAACAGGAATATACCTAATCGCCATCGCCACCGTCTTCCTGGCGCTATGGAGCGTGACCATCGCGAAGGAAGAGGGATCCGACAAAATTCCCACAAAATGTCCAGCTGTGGACCCGATGAACACGACGGTCCACTTGGCACACGAGAGTGATTGTACAAAATTCTACATGTGCCTAGGGGGCATGAAGATTCCGAGAGACTGTCCCTATATGAACAAGGAGGGCGACAGATTACACTTCAACCCACGTCTTCAAGTCTGCGATTGGCCGTGGCAAGCTGGATGTGAGGACTACAGCTTTAATGCAGGTTTGGCTGAACCGAAGAATGTACAATCTCACCTTGACGAAAATCAACATGGACCGTACGTTATGGACGAAATTCCCACCAAGTGTCCAGCCGTGGACCCAAAGAACACGACGATCCACTTGGCACACGAGACTGATTGCACGAAATTCTACATGTGCCACGCGGGCAAGAAGGTTCCGCAAGATTGCCCCTACATGAACGAGAAGGGTGACAAATTACACTTCAATCCACGTCTTCAAGTCTGCGATTGGCCGTGGCATGCTGGTTGCAAGGACTACCGCTCAAGCGAGGAGCAAATTGAATCAAGAAAGTTTATTCCTGAGGAAGATCATGGACCATTTACCATGGACGAAATTCCTACCAAGTGTCCAGCCGTCGACCCGAAGAACACGACGATCCACTTGGCACATGAGAGCGACTGCACGAAATTCTACATGTGCCGCGCAGGCAAGAAGATTCCGCAAGTTTGTCCCTATATGAATAAGGAGGGTGACAGATTACACTTTAACCCACGTCTTCAAGTCTGCGATTGGCCGTGGCGTGCTGGTTGCAAGAGCCACAGCTTTAACGCAAATCCGGATAAATCGAAGAATATACAATCTATTCCTGAGGAAGATCATCATGAACCATCCCTTATGGATGAAATTCCTGTCAGGTGTCCAGCCGTGGATCCGAAGAACAGGACAATCTATTTGGCACACCCGGCTGATTGCACGAAATTCTACATGTGCCACGCGGGCGAGAAGATTCCACAAGATTGTCCCTACATGCACGGGATGCGTGGCAGATTACACTTCAACCCACGTCTTCAAGTCTGTGATTGGCCGTCGCGTGCTGGTTGCAAGAAATACGGCTCGAGCGACGAGCAAACTGAATCACAAAACGTAAAGTTTATTCCTGAGGAAGATCATGGACCATTTACCATGGACGAAATCCCTACCAAGTGTCCAGCCGTCGACCCGAAGGACACGACGATCCACTTGGCACACGAGACTGATTGCACGAAATTCTACATGTGCCACGCAGGCAAGAAGATTCCGAAAGATTGTCCCTACATGAATAAGGAGGGTGACAGATTACACTTCAACCCACGTCTTCAAGTCTGTGATTGGCCGTGGCATGCTGGTTGCAAGGACTACCGCTCAAGCGAGGAGCAAGTTGAATCAAAAGAGTTTATTCCTGAGGAAGATCATGGACCATTTACCATGGACGAAATTCCTACCAAGTGTCCAGCCGTCGACCCGAAGAACACGACGATCCATTTGGCACATGAGAGCGACTGCACGAAATTCTACATGTGCCGCGCAGGCAAGAAGATTCCGCAAGTTTGTCCCTACATGAATAAGGAGGGCGACAGATTACACTTTAACCCACGTCTTCAAGTCTGCGATTGGCCGTGGCATGCTGGTTGCAAGGACTACCGCTCAAGCGAGGAGCAAATTGAATCAAAAAAGTTTATTCCTGAGGAAGATCATGGACCATTTACCATGGACGAAATTCCTACCAAGTGTCCAGCCGTCGACCCGAAGAACACGACGATCCACTTGGCACACGAGAGCGACTGCACGAAATTCTACATGTGCCGCGCAGGCAAGAAGATTCTGCAAGTTTGTCCCTACATGAATAAGGAGGGTGACAGATTACACTTCAACCCACGTCTTCAAGTCTGCGATTGGCCGTGGCGTGCTGGTTGCAAGAGCCACAGCTTTAACGCAAATTCGGATAAATCGAAGAATATACAATCTATTCCTGAGGAAGATCATCATGAACCATCCCTTATGGATGAAATTCCTATCAGGTGTCCAGCCGTGGATCCGAAGAACAGGACAATCTATTTGGCAGACCCGGTTGCTTGCACGAAATTCTACATGTGTCACGCGGGCGAGAAGATTCCACAAGATTGTCCCTACATGCACGGGATGCGTGGCAGATTACACTTCAACCCACGTCTTCAAGTCTGTGATTGGCCGTCGCGTGCTGGTTGCAAGAAATACGGCTCGAGCGACGAGCAAACTGAATCACAAAACGTAAAGTTTATTCCTGAGGAAGATCATGGACCATTTACCATGGACGAAATCCCTACCAAGTGTCCAGCCGTCGACCCGAAGGACAGGACGATCCACTTGGCACACGAGACTGATTGCACGAAATTCTACATGTGCCACGCAGGCAAGAAGATTCCGAAAGATTGTCCCTACATGAACAAGGAGGGTGACAGATTACACTTTAACCCACGTCTTCAAGTCTGCGATTGGCCGTGGCATGCTGGTTGCAAGGACTACCGCTCAAGCGAGGAGCAAGTTGAATCAAAAGAGTTTATTCCTGAGGAAGATCATGGACCATTTACCATGGACGAAATTCCTACCAAGTGTCCAGCCGTCGACCCGAAGAACACAACGATCCACTTGGCACATGAGAGCGATTGCACGAAATTCTACATGTGCCGCGCAGGCAAGAAGATTCCGCAAGATTGTCCCTACATGAATAAGGAGGGTGACAGATTACACTTCAACCCACATCTTCAAGTCTGTGATTGGCCGTGGCGTGCTGGTTGCAGAGGCTACGGCTTTGAAGAAAACCAGACTGTAGAGAGAAGCATGAAACTTATTTCCAAGAAGAATCACAGTAGGGTAGCACGTGCGATAAGCACTCAAATTGAATGTCCTAAGCACAATCTTAGTAACAAAACGATCCTTCTTCCGCACGAGTACGACTGCACAAAATTCTACATGTGTGTCGGCAGAGAAAAAATAGTACGAAACTGTCCCTACATGAACAAGAAAGGGGACCGGCTGCACTTTAACCCGCGTCACGAAATGTGTGATTGGCCAGATAAGGCTGGTTGCGATGACAAGGATTCCGAAGAAAACCAACGTGAAATAGACGGCCGACATTTTCCAGGCAAAAATGACGAATCATCAGAGATCCCCACGAAATGTCCTGCTAAGGATCCGAAGGACATCACGATCCACCTTGCTCACGAGTACGACTGCACAAAATTCTACAAGTGCCACGCGGGCAAGAAGTTTCTGCTAGATTGTCCCTACATGAACAAGAAAGGTGATAGGCTACACTTCAACGCGCGCCTTCAGGTCTGCGATTGGCCATGGGCAGCTGGTTGTGAGACATCAGAACCAGGAGACGATTGTCCCTGGGACAACGATGGTCTTCTGCTACCTCACGAACGTAACTGCGCCAAGTTCTATGAGTGTATGGATAGCAACAAGCGCTTGCGCGAGTGCGCAGATGGTCTATTCTTCAGCAGAAAGTATCAAGGATGCGTTAAGATCGAGGACTCGGACTGCGAGTACAAGAGAGCATCGTCCAAGTGCACCTGTGATGACGAGCTGATACCTCATGAGTGCGACTGCAGCATGTATTACAAGTGTCGAGGAGGCGACCAGGTGTTGCGACAGTGCGACAAGGGTCTGCACTTTAGCCCGAAGCAGCGTAGGTGCGAAGACCCGGCCGAAGCTGGCTGCGGAGACGACGACAAGCCTGGTACTGGCGACTGCCCGGATCCCACCTGGGAGTATCCTTGGCGTCACGAGTGCGACTGCAGATTATTCTACAGGTGCGAGGAAGGAAAGAAACGTATGTACGAGTGTCCTTGGGGATATTACTTCCATGTGGAAAGAAACGGATGCAGCCTTCAGGAACGCGTAAGCGATTGTAAAAATCATTGGGACGACTGAGATTCCGGACCGCCCAATCTGGAAAGTCCTAGAAACCTCCAGGAAGATCTTGGAAGGAGAGGAAAAGGGAGCTCGAAAAGTAGCGACGAGCGCAAGAAGCGAGTTGCACGCTCGCTAAAACTACGCTGTGTATTCGTGTAGAATATTTTTGCTAAAATATTTTAATAAATGCGACTGTGTGTAATTATCCTCCGAAGACTTTCCTCTCGGTCCGATCCTCCGATAACGCGTATCATATCGCCTCTTCTCGAGCGTTATCATTTCCGATTCGGATAAAAAGTTTCAGGGCGTAACAATCTCGATTGATAATGAGTAAGCGAAATGAATAAACATGCTGACAATTGTCCCGCGCATAATCAACGTACATGTGAAATTTGTGTATCATTATGAAGTATTACGTCATCTCTTTCAGAATTAAAAGATGTACAGATTCAAAGAGCAGATATCAAAATAATCGATAAAAATCCCTCCTCCCCCTCCTCTTCGCCGTTCGAAATCTTATCACTTATTCGTATTAAATTTCATCGTTCGTCGAGTATTTCGCAAGGTTCGTGTAAGTATTCGCTTGGCGGCGAGCGCGGCGAAGACAAAGGTGACGACAAAGAGAGGGGTGAGGATGGCAGACAGAGAGAGAGGGAGAGAGAGAGAGATAGAGAGAGAGAGAGAGAGGAGAGAGGAGAGAGAGAGGGGGGGGGGGGGGGGGGGGGGAGAGAGAGAGAGAGGGGAGAGAGAGAGAGAGAGAGGGAGAGAGAGAGAGAGAGAGAGAGAGAGAGAGAGAGAGAGAGAGAGAGAGAGAGAGAGAGAGAGAGGAGAGAGAGAGAGAGAGAGAGAGAGAGAGAGAGAGAGAGAGCGAGCGACAAAAAGCGGAGAAACACCGGTAGCGTTTCGATTCCGGTGACACAGTGACACGGAGCCTATCAGCCGAGCCCCTCTCTATTCGGCGGCCGTTCCTGATAAATAGAACGGTACCGGGAACAGTGTCGCGAGTCCCGACAATGGGCCGCCGGAAGACCGGGGCAGCTTTAATTTCCCCCCGCAGTTCCTGGCAATTACCGCGTGGCGCGGCCCGATAGCCATCTCTATCTCCGACCACAATGCCGCCAGTTCCGACGCACCCCGTTCCTTGCCACCTTGCCGGCGATTTACCCACCTCCACCCCCGCCATTGCCGTCGCTCCCGCTCCCGCCCCCGCCCCCGTCCACGAGCCCCGTGTCGAGCGAAGTGTCGTCGATCTTCGGCGACTTTTCTCACCGCGATGTTAACGCACGAGTCGCCGTTGACGTACGAGCGCGCGGATTTGCCCTGAATTTGTTGGCGAATTGTCGGCGACGATGAGACCACCCCTTTCTCTTTTCGTCGGAGTATCGAGAAATTTATTCCACGATTTTACACGATTGCCTTGACGCGCGCGCGCGTCCGCGGGCGCCGAGGGACGAGAGGGACGCATGTGCGAGGCGCGGTGGAGTTTGGATCGGGTGTTTAACAACTCGCGGCCGAACTCCTTGGCGGAGTTTGCAAATGGTTCGAGACGATTGGAGCGCGACTGCTTAAGTTCGACTAACAGAGAAAGAAGAGGAAGAGAAGAAACGGGCGCGCGCGCTAGAGAGGGAGAGAGAGAGAGAGAGAGAGACGCAGGCGAAGCGGAGACGAAACCATCCGCTCCTCTTCTCTCTCTCTCTCTCTCTCTTCTTCGTTCACTTCGCCCGCTCGAGCTCGCTCTCTCTCTCCTCCTCACGGCAACATTATCGTGTTTTAATTTAACTTGCAGCTGCACTTTAATTAGACTTTGGCTGAATGAGGAGATGACGCTCGACGGGCAAAGCGAATAAGGACTGGCAAGTAAACGGGAGGCGAAGCGAGCGAACTCCATTCCTCACCCATTTCCCTGTGCCTGGGCGACCCCCGCCCGTCTATCCTCCCTTGTACCACCTTTTCCTCTTCTTCATCTATCCACGGTTACACAGAAAATTCAAGTGATAAGGAAAGAGAGCGGGAGAGAGAGAGAGAGAGAGAGAGAGAAACAGCCCGCGCGCCGGAAAAGGAAGGTAATTGGCCGATGCCGACAATGCGTTGTCGGCAACGTCGCTTCTACTCGATTTTTCCTCTCCGTCTTTCCGCGACTCCGGGAATGAGAGAGGTATTCTTTGAGATACATAAGTGTCTTCGAGAGATGATTGTAGACAAAATTCCAACAATTTCCCGGAGCGTTCCGCGACCTCGCTTGCGTCGCCTGAAATGCATATTGGGCGAGTGCAAAACTTCTGACGTCTTCATCCAAAATGTGAGACTGAGCAGCACTCGCGAATACGTAGACGCGTAATGCGTAGCAAGGATCACAGGAGACAATGGCGATTAGAATCGGTAGAATCGACAAGTCCTCTCCCTGATAAAATTGCTCGGTCCATTCATCTATCATCAAAACTTTCGCACTCACCGTCACGGTGCACGCAAGACTTATCACTCCTCCCTCTCTTTCGAGCTGTGTCATTTAGCGAGCCTCAGCTACCGACCTCGTCGTCCACTGTGGATCCGGCCGAGAAGGAAAAGCCGCCGCGCGTCTCCTCCGTAGTTTCTTCTCGCGGAGTTAGACTCGCCGGACAGTCGTCGACATATCGGCGCGTTCGCTCGCGCGAATCGCCTCGCCGGCGAGACGCCAGCTACTTTCTCCGCGCCGTGGCCGGCGCGCATTCTCTGCGAAACTTGCGACGCGAAGCGCAATAAATCTGCCGGCTCTTTCGCTCGCGTAGCGTCTCGCGTTGCTCGAAATAATGACATCGCGAAGCCGTGGGGACTCGCATAAGTCGGTTTTCAATGGCACTCCTCGTCTTCCTCTCTCTCTCTCTCTCTCTCTCTCTCTCTCTCTCTCCTATTTCCCCCACCCCTCTCTCTTCGTTCCATCTCTCTCGCTCTATTTCTCCATCGCAGCCGCACGCAGCCGGTATCTCTTCGCGCTTAATGAACGCCGCCGAAACTGTCGCGAAACCTCGTCGGTGCGCGACGCCTTCCCGCCCTCCTACGCGCCCTCCTCGCAGGCACCGCCGCGCGCTTCGCGCAACAATCGCGACAATGGAACGCTCATGCTCCGACGATCGACATCAAAGGCGATTGCGAAGTCTTACGGCGACATCGCCGTACGTTCTCGGCCGGGGGGGGGGGGGAATTAGGCGGGATGATCGAACTCGGCCGGGGCGCGGTCCTCGAAATCGCGCGCCTCGTCCTCCTCCTCACGTGCTTTCGCACGTGCGCAATCATCCAGCATGCTAATTGTGCCGCGGACATTCTAATAATCCCGACGAGACCTCGGGACACGATCCTCATGGGGAGTGAATGACAGAGCCAAGGGGAGGGGAGGTCGATTCACGGCGATGCATCACATCGTCATAGACCCGTGAGCGCCCCACGAAGAGAGGCTCCGCGAAGAACGCACGTGTGAAAAGGACGGCCGCGGGCACTCGATCTTTGTCCAACTTGGCTTCCATCGGAGAATGCTGGCCGATGCTGGCCGATACAAACAGTAGCAGGGAGATTTAGCTGCCCTCCGTGCAGCTCAGGTTTGTCTCTGCCTCTCTCGGCAAGCGGAGACGGAGACTCGAAGGAGAGACAGTTAAACTTGAAAAGAGACAATCGAGATGTGGAAGACGCGAAAGCGAGCTAGTGCGAGATAGCGCGCGTGATTGGCCTCCAGGAAACAAACCTGGAGAAGTCTACGAGTGTATCCGAATGAACACCGCGCACCACCGTCCCTCCATTTCCGACCCCGACCCCTCCCCCCGAGAAAACTCTCTCTCCTCCCCTTGGCTCTTTTTCCGCGACGTCCTAATACCATCTCCGTCCTCCGCTGAGAACCTCTGTTCCAGGTCGAGAGCACTTATTCGGGCCATAACTCCCGCGCGCGCGTACCCTCCGTTTCTGCCATCCCGCCCTCATAAATACACGAGACGAGGCGAGCGGATGGGGAAGGAGGGAGAGGGAGAGGGAGAGGAGCAGCGGCGGCACGGAGGCAGTCCGACGAAGAGGCACGCTACCGCTACCGGGCGGCGGGCGGGAGGGCTCGCCCGGGACGACGAAAACGGCGGAGTCGCGGTCGAGCGGGGCCGAGCGGGCGGATCGACGAGCACGGCGTCGGCCAGAGAAAATCCGGGACTTTAAAACAAATATATCGCGCGTAAATCCAGCGTGGATGTTACCCAAGTCTGCCGGCGGGGGATGTATCCCGTAGTCGCGGGGGACGCACGTGGGGAAGAGAGGGAGAGAGAGAGGGAAAGCGAGACGCGCGAAGGAAGGAAGGAAGGAAGGAGAGAGCGGCAGCAAATCGTCGACGTTTTGCTTTACATATTTCCCGCGGAATTGTCTCGGTCGCGCCGAGCGACGAGGGGAAAGACACGACGCTGTCGGCCGGAGGAATACGAGAAAGTAACAAGGCGGACGTTTAAAATCCCATTTCTCCTCTTCTTTCCCTTCCGTCCGTCCCCATCTCTCTCTCTCTCTCTCTCTCTCTCCCTCCGTCTCTCCTTTTTTATTTTAGACGGCGGTGACTCGCGCGACCACCGTACGTACGTGTGTTTCTTCTTTATCATTTCTCTCTTCCTGCTCCCTCCGCCCCTCTCGCATTTTCGCGCGGTCGTGGACGTTTTTATTCGCGGCCTCGCGCGAGCGAGCCGACGTCCTCTCTCTGGGTCGAGGGGGTTGGGAGGAGGCGACTGGAGGAGGAGGAGGAGGAGGAGGCGGGAAGAATCGGTTTTCCAGACGGGAACAAACAGACGTCCGAGGGTTTGTTCGCACGCCGCCGCTGCCGCACGGCTGGACCTCTCTCTCTCTCTCTCTCTCTCTCTCTCCCCCTCCTGGCCCTCGCCCTCTCTCGCTCTCTTGGCGGATCGAGCGCGTGCATGTACGTACATATCCCGTGGGCGAGTGCGCTAGGATTCATGAATACCAGAGTATTTGCCGAGCGCGTACCGATACGCGGAAGCGTCGCGCGGCCCCAATCCCGCCGCCACCCCTTGCATGCGCGCGCTCGCACCCTCGCCGCCCGTCTGCCGCCTGTCCGCGGACACATCGAGTGTATCGCAAGTCGCGCGATTCGACGCGATGAAGAAGAAAAAGGAGGAAGAAAAGCGGGAGAGACGCTCGAGACGCGGCGAAAATGCCGCTCTCTCAGACCCCCCCCCCCCCGTCAGAGCCGCCGCCGTCGCTGCTCGTCCTCTCGCGCCGGTCGAATCGCGCGATACCGCGAAATCATCCCTCAGCAGGACCACGTCGACCATCTTGCTCGACCGACGGCGCCAGAAGCGAGGACTTTCGATCTCCGCGCCGACTGACGACCTCCAGCGATTTCTGCGCGGGAACAGCGGAACCTCGCGGGACACCCTGTATAACGCGCGCGCGCGCGAGCGCGAGCTCGGTAGTACGCGTCGTGCATGTAGCAGCCCCGGCAAAG